TTTGGGTGAATATACTCGTCATGTGTGTTCTGGGGAGCAGGTTTATGGTTTCTGGGAGTTTCAATGGGTGTCCATTACCCAAAAAAAATGGTTAAGAACCACATACTATATGATTCCATTCACATGAACATCCTGATTAGGGAAATATATGGAGACAGAAAGTAGATTAATGGCTACTAAAAACTGGGGAGATCAGGGATAGGAGAGTGGGGAGGTAGGTGATAGCTAAAGAATACGGGATTTCTTCTCGAGATAATGAAAATGTTCTAAAGTTGATTGTGGTGGTTATACATATCTGTGAATATTTTTTTAAAACCATTGAATTGTATACTTTTAAATAGTGAATTGCATGGTATGTGAATTATATCTCACTAAAACTGTAAAAAAAAAAAAAAAAAAAAAAAAAAAAAATGCTTAAAAGCCCTGCTTAGAAAAAAGGGCCACGGTTTGCAGGTACCTACAGACAGTAAGGCTGGGTCCTCTCTGTTCCAGGAAAACCTTGAGTGGTACCAAACCTAGTTCTTTTTTGGAACTAAGGCCAGATTTACCTGAGTCCTCTCATTGGGGGAAGGCTGTCTAAGTCAGTGCGTCTCAAATTTTAATGAGCAGATGAGTTATTTGGTGATCTTATTAAAATGCAGTGGGCCCAAGATTCCCCTGGTGACCCAATGAACACACTGTGAGTAACAGAGCACTAGACCAAAAGTATGTTTGCATCCTCTTGCTTCCCCTGGATCTGCATGCCATCCAGATACTTAAGACAACACACAATTTCCTGAGATTTTTAGCCCTGGGCACCCTTTATTCTAGACCAGGGCTTCCTCTCCAACTAATTTCTCTGTTCTCCTGCTTTAGTGAACTAGGCTGAATAGCACAGAAATCTCAAGGACCCCCTTTCTCTTTCTCCCTTAAAATCTAAGCCAGAGACAGGTGCAATCAGCTCATTTGTTTTATTGCCCCTCAGCTCTACACTGGCCCAGCTTAGCCGGAACAAGGGTACCTCCCCAGCAGGCACATCTAGCTCAAGTGTAACTTAGACAAAAATAAGTTATTCCATGCATGTGTCCTAAAGGTACAATTTCCTTATTCATCTCCTCCAGGTTTCATATGCCCAGGAATGAATAAGGATGCGTGAGACTTTGATGCTTATTTTGAACCAAAGAGGTGTTCATCCAAAAGGAAAAGACTGTGGGTGGTCTACATGAAACAAGTTGTCTCAAGAAAGAAAAAGAACCCCTTCACTAGCCTTATTTAATTAGAACAACCATCAGAGATGCTATAGCTGGGATTGAGTGGCCACAATATTTTGCAACAACTCCCATCAAGAAGTGGAGTCTGTTTCTCCATCTTGACTCTGGGCCAGCCTTCTGACTTGTTTTGACCAATTGAATGTAACAAGAATGTGGTTGTATGAGTTCCAAAGGCCTTGCAGCTTCCATCCTCTTTAAGTGCTGCCCTGAGACTCACCATGTAAGGAAGCCTTCCAGAGGATAAGAGGCTAAGAGGAGAACCAAGGCACCCCAGCCAACAGTCAATACCATCTGCCACACCTATGAATGAGGCCATCCTGGAAGCTCCAATTCAACACAGCCACATAAGTCAGCCCAGGTGAAAACAACAGAGGAACCATTCAGCCAACCCACAGAACTGTGAAAAACAATGAATCACTATTAAGTCACTAAATTTCAGGGTGGTTTGTAACAAAACAGTAGATAATCAAGATAGACAGGATGGTGAACTAGATAACACCTAAGATCTCTTCAAACGTGATCCTGTGTGTTTTTGTTTTCTGTTTTGGAATGAAGTCTCACTATATTGCCCAGGCTGGAGTACAGTGGTACAATCATGGTTCACTACAGTCCTGACCTCCCAGGTTCAAGCAAGTCTCCTGCCTCAGTCTCCCAAGTAGCTGGGATTGCAAGTGTGCACCACCATGCCTGGCTACTTTTTTTGTTATTATTTTGTAGAGACAAGGTTTCACTGTATTGCCCAAGCTGATCTTGAACTCCTGGGCTCAGCAATCCTCCTTCTTTGGCCTCCCAAAGTGTTGGGATTACAAGCGTGAGCCACCACGTCCAGCCATGATTCCATGTTTTAAGAAATGTTCAGAGGGCTGGGCACACAGTGGCTCACACCTGTAATCCCAGCATTTTGGGAGGACAAGGTGGGCAGACTGCCTGAGCTCAGGAATTCGAGACCACCCCGGGCAACATGGTGAAACCTCATCTCTACTAAAATACCAAAAAATCAGCCAGGCATGGTGGCACATGCCTATAATCCCAGCTACTCAGAAGGCTGAGGTGGGAGAATCACTTGAGCCAGGGAGGCAGAGGTTGCAGTGAGCCAAGATTGTATCACTGCACTCCAGCTTGGGTGACAGAGTGAGACTCTGTCAAAAAAAAAAAAAGAAAAAGAAATGTTCAGAGGTTTGATTTAGCCCCAAACAAGCTATTTCTTCTTTACATGCACAGATCTGTTCTCCATTCAAAACAAGGCTAGTGTCTTCGTGTGCTTTTGTTGCTGATCTGCCATGGGAGGAAAATAATGAATGTCCCCCAAAGGGCCTCTTTGTGTCTTTAGTGACTCTATTTAGCAGGCTGTCTCACCTGAACTGCAACAGGGATTTAGATATGTTTGAAGGTACAAGGCTTCAGTCCTATCTCTCCCTGGCCATGAAGCACTCACTGCCTGGGGACCAAGTTGGGAGAGTACTGAGACACGGTGCCTAGGAGGAGAGACAGGAAATAGGGTGACAATAGCGAGAATGGAGTAACATTTTGCCCACCCCGACTCCAACCCTGTGGCAAAAAAATAATTTTGAATCTCAAAAACATGAGGAATTGTGCAGAAGCAGAAGGGAGGCTTTGAGCAAAGCTGGGTACCTGTGTGCTGCTTTAGAGCCTGAGAGGAGAGCTAGAGAAAAGGTCCTGCTCCCCTTCTCACCCTATCCCAACCCTGCCACGCATACGGATAGCTCTGGCTTCCTAAGAAGGGAAGAATATGGATGTGCCTAATGGAGTCCCATTCTCACTGAGGGCCAACCCAGGGTACAGTCCCCTGACAAAGAAGCCAAGGCATCACACAGGCAAACTTGTTTCTCAGCACATGTGATGAGCCAACACCTTGGGGACCCCCTTGAAATAACTGGGGGGATGCCTCTGAGGGGAAGGTGGTGGAAGTTTAGCATAAGCCTATAGGGTTTAGAACCACTGTAAATGGAAGCATCAAAATGAGTGTGTCCAAATGTGTACTCACAATCTGGTTACACCATGAAATAAAGATCTTTTTTCATTTCTATTTCTGATGGTCAGAGGTTTCTGTGACCTGCACCAGATACTCTGATATCCTCCAGGGGATTGGTACATTCCACCTTTTTTAAGACCTGGTTTTCTTCAGATTTTATGGGTGATTACAAAATGAAGCTACTTTCCCAACCTGGGCATATATTGCAACAAAGTCTGAAGATAAAGTTATGGAATGAAAGTCTGGAGCTCAGAGGGATAACTTAGGAGCTCTTACCCAGCTACTTGCCTTGTCTATTTATGGTGGAATAGTATAGAGATGGTAGTTCAGGCACTATTTTACCTCACGTAGGATACAGATTGCATTAGAGTCTTATTTCAAGAAACGAAATACAACCAGAAATATCATGGACCAGGTTACAGAAAACAAACATAATGTGCTTTACTGAACTAGTTTTTTTGTTACATCTTTTTGCTATTCGATTCCTACATCTTATTCCTTTTTGGTCTCTCCTTTAGGGGGATGCTGTATAAACTATTTTTAAGTGCACAGTTTAACAATTTGATAATAGTTAGTAAAGTTGAAGAAAAGCCAATCTTGTAACCCAGCAATTCTGCTCTTAAATATATACCCTGTAGAAAAAAACCTTACACCTGGGCCTGAAGAGATCTCAAAAGTATTGCAGCATTGTTTATAGTAGGAAAAAACATGTTCATAACAGAGTAAAGTTAAATAAAGTTGAGGTTAGTCATATAAAGCAATTTAATGCAGCAGTTAAAACAATTGTACTAGACCTATTAGTATCAGCATGGATAAATCCCAAAAAAAATGTAAAAAAGTTGTAAAAGAATACATATAAAATATACCACATAGGTTAATATTAAAAACCTACCCCCAAAGAGTACTGCATATTATTTCTGCATATATATAAGGTAATTTTAATGAACAAGAAAGATAAATTCTAACCTTATGATATCAGCTCCCTCTGGAAAGGAAGATAAATAAATAAAACAATGTGATAAAAGAATGGAGATTTAGCTATACTGCAACATTTTGTTTCAAAAGAAGGAAGGGAAGGAAGAAAAGAGCGAGAGAGGGAAAAAGGAAGAAAAAAAAGAGAACCAATGCTAATATGACTCTGGGTAGTCGGTACATGAGTGTAAATTATATTTTGCAGTTTTCCTGTATGTTCAAACTATTTCATTTTTTTTTTTTTTTTAATTTAAAAACAATGGGGCCGGGCACAGTGGCTCATGCCTGTAATCCCACCACTTTGGGAGGCCGAGGCAGGTGGATCACTTGAGGTCAGGAGTTTGAGACCAGCCTGGGCAACATGGTGAAACTCCATCTCTACTAAAAATACACAAATTAGCTGGGCGTGGTAGGACATGCCTGTAGTCCCAACTACTTGGGAGGGTGCCACTGTACTCCAACCTAGGCAACAGAGTGAGACTCTGTCTAAAAAAAAAAAAAAAAAAGATGGACAGCTCGCCAGCAAAGGGATTTTACCCCTCTTGGGTGGTACCTATTTTATAGGAACTTCCTGGGTTTAGTGACTGAGATACAGGTAAGTATATTCGAGGATTAAATGCTAATACTCACCTTCCCTCATCCCCACACAAACTACTATTCCTTGCTATTATATACATGCATCAGCTTGGTCTCTGCCAGATAACACTAGCCCCAGGAGACAGAATAAGAGGGAAAGGGGAAAAAACATGAAACCAAACCCTTGTAAGACATGAAGAAACACTTACTCTGTTACAGCCCACTTTGGAATGCTCTGTGTTTCTGTCACCTCGAGCATTCTGATTCATTCTGAGGATCTCCTCCAGATACAACTCATTTAGCCAGCCGACAGGAGGAACAATTACTGCTGGCTTAAAAGATCGGTTGATTTCTCTGGCGTCTATTTGCCTGCAGTTCTGGCTCTCTGACAAATCAAGTCAGATCAATTTGTACCCTAAAGAGTAAATGGGAGGATGTGATTATTTTCTGGTTCAATAGAAAAGCATTTCATTTCAAAGGGCTGCTGCATAGCATTTTTGAGAGTCACAAGGAATGAATCAGGTCCCTAGAGAACAAATGATGGGTTCTCAGGAGAACAGCTGGCTTCACTTCTCACCTATGCTTTAGGAACTGAGGCAGGATGTGGGGATGAACAGAAAGCACACTCCACTGAGAGAAGCCTCTGCACATCCATGTCTAAGGAATATTTTATTTGTCTCTTCAGAAGCAGTCTTCTAAAGTTAGAAAACATGCAAAAAATTCAGGAAGATGGACACCTAATTCTACTGGTGACCACATCAAGATCTAGAAAATCACTTCTGAAAAGGAACCGACGAGCAGAAATAAACTTCTGAACAACAAGAGGGAAACAGAGGTGAGAAAATCATGCTTTGTTCCTTGACACTCTGCTGCTCTTTACCAACAGATTTGTCTCTTGAGACACAGCACGGCAGGAGAGGCTGCAGGAGAAAAGCCTTGGTGGGTTCCAGGCTCCTTTTACTGAGGCTGCCCCTCTGGAATCTGCCTTCTCAGATGCCGTCTAACCACTGAACTCAATCTTCAGGGTCAGGTCCACCCCCATTCCTCTGCCTCACAGACATTACAGCTGATACGCAGGAGCTGGAAATAATGTCGTGGAAACACATGGGCTTTGGGGACAGGCTGCTCGGGTTCATTCTCAGCTCTGTGGTTTATTAGTTTTAAGACCTCAACAAACCACTTAAGCTTCGATTTCCTCAGCTGTCAAGAACAGACCTAGTACCTTCCTTACAGGGTGGTTATTAAGGGACATGATGGATACAAAGCTCTTAATGCAGCACCTGGTCCAGATTGAGCATTCCACAGATGTTCCTGATGATGGCTGTTATTGTCTTCTGCCCTCGAAATGTGATGCTATTTGGTTACTTGTGAAAGACCTGGAGATTTTTAAACTCAAATTTTAGTGAGAATATGTCCCCTGCATGAACATCGGATATATCTATGCTAATGGGCCTTGTCCTTAGAGGTGAACTAAAGGCTTTCTCTGAGTCATTCCCCTCTATCATGAAATTGGCATCCTTTCCTATACTGATCTCTATGGCAATCATATTACTCTTGCTCCCATCTCTACAACACTCTATATGAGGTAAATTTATTCATGAGCACTATAGTGCAGCAACGGCCAAGAAGTCAGAAGGCAAGAGTTCTGGCTCTTTCCATGGCAACAACCAGTTATGTGAGTGTAAGTGATTTATTTATCATTTCTGCCTTTTGATTTCTTCACCTATTAAGTGAGGATCATTTTTCATGCTCTATTTACTTCATCAGGCTATGAAAAACTGAAAAAGAGAAAATGAGGGAATAGACCAACGAAACAGAATAGAGACCCCAGAATAAAACCACACACTTGCAGACAACTCATTTTCAACAAAGGTGGCAAGAACATCCCTTGGGGAAAGGACGGTCTCTTTAATAAATGGTTCTGGGAAAACTGAAATGCACATGCAAAAGAATGAAGCTAGATCCCCATCTTTCACCATGTATACAAGTCAACTCAAAATGGATTAAAGGCTAAAATGTAAGACCTGAAACTATAAAACTACTAGAAGAAAACATTGGAGAAATGCTCCAGGACACTGGTCTGGGCAGATTTTTTGCATAAGACCTCAAAAGCACAGGCAAGTAAAGCAAAAACAGACAAATGGGATTATATCAAGCTAAAAAGTTTCTGCCACAGCAAAGGAAACAGTCAACAAAGTGAAAAGACAACCCACAGAATGGAGAAAATATTTGCAAACAATCTCTCCTATAAAAGGTTAATAACCAGAATATTTAAGGCACTCAAACAAATCAATAGCAAAAAGCAAAAACAAACACTCTGATTTTAAAATAGTCAAAAGACCCAAATAAACATTTCTCAAAAGAAGACATACAAATGGTGTTATAAACAACAGAAAATGAACTAAGACAAAAAAAGGAAAAAAAATTTTTAAAGTAAAAAATAAGAAGACATACAAATAGCCAACAGGTATATAAAAAAATGCCCAACACCGTTAATCATCAGGGAAATGTAAATCAAAACCACAGTGAGATATCATCTTATCCCAATTAGAATGGCTATTACTGGCCGGGTGTGGTGGCTCACACCTGTAATCCCAGCACTTTGGGAGGCTGAGGTGGGCAGATCACAAGGTCAGGAGATCGAGATCACGGTGAAACTCCGTCTCTACTAAAAACACAAAAAAATAAAATTAGCCGGGCGTGGTGGCGGGCGCCTGTAGTCCCAGCTACTCAGGAGGCTGAGGCAGGAGAATGGCATGAACCTGGGAGGCTGGAGCTTGCAGTGAGCCGAGATCACGCCACTGCACTCCAGCCTGGGGACAGAGCGAGACTCCATCTCAAAAAAAAAAAAAAAAGAATGACTATTACTAAAAAAACAAAACAAAACAAAACCAAAAAACAGATGCTGGCAAGTGTGTGGAGAAAGGGGAATGCTCATACATTGTGAGTGGGAATGCAAATTAGTATGGTCATTATGGAAAATGGTATGAAGGTTCCTCAAAAAATTTAAAATAGAACATATGATACAGTAATTTGACTGCTGGATACATATTTTTAAAAAGTAAATCAGTATATCAAAGAAACAACTGTACACTCATGATTATTGCAGCACTCTTCACAATAGCAAAGATATAGAATCAGCCTTTGTGTCCATCAATGGATGAATGGAAAAAGAAAATGTGGTGTATATACACAATGGAATGTTATTCAGCCATTAAAAAAGAATGAGATCTTGTCATTTGCAGCAACATGGATGGAACTGGAAGATCTTATGTTACGGGAAATAAGCCAGGCACAGAAAGACAAATATTGCTTGTTCTCATTCACATGTGGGAGCTAAAAACTGGATCTCATGGAGATAGAGAGTAAAACTGTGGTTATGAGTGGTTGAGAAAGGAAGTAGGGAGAGGGGAACAAGAGAACCCGGTTAAGTGCACAGAAATTAAGTTAGATAGAAAAAATATGTTATGTCTACGGCCATACCACCCTGAACGCGCCCGATCTCGTCTGATCTCGGAAGCTAAGCAGGGTCGGGCCTGGTTAGTACTTGGATGGGAGAAAAAATATGTTATAACATTCAATAGTACACTAGGGAAATTATAGTTAACAATAATTTATTGTATATCTCAAAAAAGCTAAAAGAAAAACATTGTAATGTTCCTAACACAAAGAAAGATAAATGAAGTGATGGATATCCCAATTACCCTGATTTGATCATTACACATTGTATACATATGTCAAAATATCACATGTGCCCCCAAAATATGTAAAACTATTATATATCAATAGAAATCAGGACATTAATATTGATATAATTTTTTTCTTTTGAGACTGAGTCTCACTCTGTCGCCAGGCTGGAGTGCAGTGGCGTGACCTTGGCTCACTACAACCTCCGCCTCCTGGGTTCAAGCAATTAATCTGCCTCAGCTTCCTGAGTGGCTAGGATTACAGGCACGCACCACCACGCCCAGCTAATTTTTGGGCTTTTAGTAGAGATGGGTTTTCACCATGTTAGTCAGAATGGTCTCGATCTCTTGACCTCATGATCCGCCCACCTTGGCCTCCCAAAGTGCTGGGATTACAGGCTTGAGCCACCGCGCCCGGCCAATATTGATAGAATTTTTAAAAGAAGGCGAAGGTAATGTTGATTTGAAAAGGGTAAGGAGGAAATGCAAGAGATCATTGTTGGTTGGTTATCTTTATTCCGACATCTGCAGGTCCTTGAAGGCATGAACATAGAAGAGTCTAAAATAATCCCACCCAGAATGTAGCAACAATGCCTACGTAATGGTGCTTTGACAAGCCTCCTATTATACAAGCCACACTTCATACAAGCCACACTGGGGACTTTATGAATATTGTTAATAATAGTGGATACATGAGTTAAAGTTTAAAAGTTTTTAACACAAACGACAGCAAAGTCAACACCTTCCATCTTGAAATTAGAAACTGACCACGATCAATTCCTGGTTGGTTCATTTACAGCATTTGTATTTGACTTTTCAACACTTTATTTTCATAAAGAAATACTGAGCCAGGCATAGTGACTCATGCCTGTAATCCCAGCACTTTGGGAGGCCAGGCGGGTGGATTACTTGAGGTCAGGAGTTTGAGACCAGCCTGACCAACAAGGTGAAACCCCCATCGCTACTAAAAATACAAAAATCAGTCGGGCGTGTTGGCACATACCTGTAATCCCAGCTACTTGGGAGGCTGAAGCGAGAGAATCACTTGCCCCGGGGAGCAGAGGTTGCAGTGAGCTGAGATCATGCTGTGCACTCCAGTCTGGGCAACAGAGCAAGACTCTGTCTCAAAAAAAAAGAAAGAAAGAAAAGAAATACTAAGGGACAAATTTTAGGGTTGTTTAATTTTTAAAATATAACTGTAATGTAAATTATTAATAACTTTGTGCTTTCTGGATATATGTTAAAAGTATAAAACCGGGCTGGGCATGGTGGCTTATGTCTGTAATCCCAGCACTTTGGGAGACTGAAGTGGGAGGATTCCTTCAGACTAGGAGTTCAAGATCAGCCTAGGCAATGTGGCAAGGACACTTCTCTACAAAAAAAAAAAAAATTTTTTTTAGCGGGGAAAGGAAATATGTGCCTATCAGTCCCAGCTCTTTGGGAGGCTGTGGTGGGAGGATCTCCTGAGCCCAGCAGTTCAAGTCTGCAGGGAGCTATGATTGTGCCATTGCATTCCAGCCTGGGCAACAGAGTGAGGCTCTGTCTCTAAAAGAAAAAAAAGTCACACCGGGATCAGTGGCTCACACCTGTAATCCCAGCACTTTGGGAGGCCAAGGCAGGCTGATGACAAGGTCAGGAGTTCAAGACCAGCCTGGCCAATGTGGTGAAACCCCATCTCTATTAAAAATACAAAAATTAGCTGGGCGTGGTGGCACACGCCTGTAGTCCC